TAGCGTGCCCACATCCCCCCATAAGAACACCAACATATTTTTTTCCAGCAAATGCAAAGACCAGCTTCACAGAGTAGTATGCATTTGTTCAAATCAGTCCACCTACCAACAAGGATAGAATGGTTCTTGCCTTCCAAGAGCTGAAATCCTGCCTCAAGTAAGGCCATAGGATTAGAATATATTTGTATTTTCACAGGATCAGAATCAGAGTGCTCTGTGGCAAAGATTCAGCCTGTGGAGGGCACAGAGAGAGGAAAAAAGAGTCCAACAGCAAGAAGGGCTGGCTATCCAACTACACAATAGTTGTAGAGAATTGAAGACCATCCTCTCAAGGAGCTGAGAGAATGAAAGCAGGTATGCCAAGCTGCATGGTACAATAGAATATTTATATGTAATTTCCTTCTGTGCTTATACTGTTTTTCTTATTTGGGTTTTAATGATCAATAGATAAATGCAACTATAAAGGACAGAATTAAATCAAATCATACCGAAAATGGCCAGGATTCAAAACATGTTTTAATTCTATTTTTTTTTTTTTAGGATTAATTATATTTTTATTGTAGTAGTTCTGAGCAGACCCAGTCATGACCCCAGTATGGTAAGTTCCATACAAATGTAGAACAGACAGATAGTCCCCTCCCACAAAAGAGCTTTAAGGCTAACTAGCAATGATTTTTGGTTGCTAACCTGATATACCTTAAAAGGGCCAGATTTTCAAACAAAGAACACTCAGTACTTTCTGAAAATAATGGCTCTCTCTCAAGGTGGACATCCAAAAAAAAGTAATATATAATCTCTAGTACCTTTTGAAAATCTTGGCCTATCACCACAGCAGTGCTGTCAGAGACAATATATACTCTCTGAAACTGGAGAGGATATCAGTGACTATGCAGTCAGTCTATAGTGTTGTTCCTGAGTGATGCCTAATTGTGGGCAGTGGGCTGGGAGCCTCATTCTGAAAGGTGCTGAGAATCCTCTAAGCAGACATTAAGTCCTTAATTTACTGCTGCTGCCTTTGGCATTTAGGTGTGCACCTAAACTATATGTTAAAGTTAGGGGTAAAGAGAAATACAAAGGCAGAGGACTTTAGGGACATCACAGAAGTTACTTAAAGCTGTTTTGATGATTTAAAATGTTTGACTTAACATCTACATCTTGGGCTGTTTATTTGTGCCTGATATGAATGGACCTGAGGCTCTTTGGCAAAGAAATCAACCTGGAAATCTTACAAGCAGGTTTTTTCCTGAGATATGTGGTACCTCCTGATTTCAATCAGGTCAGAAATACTGAGAAGAAAAATATTTCATATGATAATACACATTTCTTCTCCTGATCCTAGCTGCAAGTGAGAAATGCATAAGCAGTATGAAAAAAACTGAAGCAAAGGAAGAGGAATTCATTGCAATTTTCTGAATCTCCAAAATAGTTGAAAGTAAAAAATCATAGGTTTTAGATGGTTAGGGGCTGGAAGGGACTTCACAAGATCATTAAGTCCAGCCCATCCTGCACTAAGCAGGAAAGACAAGTGGGGTCTGGTGACCCCAGCAAGGTGACTGTCCAGTCTCCTCTTGAAGATTTCCAGGGTAGGTGATTGCACCACCTCTGGAGGGAGCTGTTCCACAGTCTGGACACCTCAATTTGCTAGAATTGAGCCTGAAGCGGTCTTTCAGGAGTTTGAGGCCATTACCCCTGTTTTTCCCCAAGGGTATCCTGGTGAACAGTTGTGCACCAAGCTCCTGATATAGCTGTAAGCTGCTACTAAGTCCCTTCTTAGCCTTCTCTTTTTCAGGCTGAAGAGGCCCAAGTCCCTCAGCCTCTTCTCGTATGGTCTTGCAAGTCTCTGATCATAAGTTTTGAATGATGATTTGAGTTCATTCCTATAGCACATTCATACAGAAGCTACACTTTGAATACTTCATTAAGAAGACCTTTATTGGATGCTGGCAGGTTCTTAGACATACAGTCCTACTGTGCCAAATTCAGTCAGACTCAGAAAGACCATTTACTTTACCAAAAAAGGATGTTTTTCCTGGTTCCCATCCTTCGGTTTCTAATTGAGATAAAAGTGGATGTGGTGGACACATTACAGAAATAATTGAAAGATGTTGTTTATTTTCATAGGTTTAATTTCATAGGGATAAACAGCCTTTATTCTCTACTGAGTGATCAAGGTGGGTAATAGAAAAGTGTTCAAGGAAAAGAAGGGAGCGGGGAGAGATGGGGTAGAAGCAGAGACATAACTAGCAATTTTGGTGCCCTGGAAAGAGATGTTACTGAACACCACAAAGGAAGGTAGGGTTTGGTGGTGGGAGGGACCAAGTACCAGCGGGGGATGCGGAGCACTGGGGGATGCTGTTGACATCTCTCGAACCAGTGTCCAGTGCCATGCCTGCCCTGTTATGCTGCTGGGGAAGAAGGGAGATGAAAAGGAAATATACATCTCTTCTTTTTCTTCCTGCCTTACTCTTTCCCTCATTAAGCCTCCATACCTACAGGGATATGTTTTTTTGCTTTCTAAATCAGTGAGGCATATAGCTGTTTGGTCTTGATGTGCCATTTGCAGTGTTTGCCCAGATGCATACAATAAAATAAGTAATAAATAGTAATGATAGCACTAATCATTAAATGGTGAGGTATATAAACACACAATAAACTGAAGGATTACTTTGGCTTCATAATATGCCGCATGTTTTCCCTTTAATCCTCTCCCCTCTCCTTTACCAAGCATCATTAGTAACTGACAAAGAACAGGCTGCCTGCTCCAGCAGGGATGTCCTCATTTCTCCTTGGATCAGGTCAGCACTGAAAAACCACTCTTTTCCAGCCAATGATACTAATGTGATCCCCTAGCAGGGTGATATTCCCAGCAGTCTGACAGAAATCAGGTATCATCATAACCGTCATGTTCTCCTTTCTTCTTCCTTTCCGGGCTTCATACCCTGTCGTAGCAGCCCCTGGCTTTGAAAGCAAAGGGCTGAAGATGCGTATCAGTTTTATGCATGTTTACACTGATGTTTGCACCGTTGTAATGTGCACGTGCATGGCCATGAAAACATACTTCTCTCCAAAATCTGTAAGGAGCAAATGAGTAGAAAAACGTTATAAACAGCAATAGGACAATGCAGGTCAAATGAAGCCTAACATACATAACTATCATCGATTTATATTTGGTTTGAGGAATTTATTCATTCCAGCCACATTGATTTGGCAAACAAAGCTGGTAGCAAGTTCGCATAGATCTGTAAATGCCAAGCAAAATTACAACCGGCGCTTCCAAAAATTGTTCTGCATGAAACTGCTCAGAGTTGCCATCTCTTCAGTCTGATATTGCTCACTGGTCCTGATAGACCATCAGAGTCTACTTTACATAAAAGAGTCTTCTGTAAATGTGCTGGTGGATAGACAACCGGTATCATTACCAGAGCAAGAGGTCTGTTCAAGATAAGGGGGTTCTAGAGCCCGTTAGGGATTAGCGGCGCAGTATGTTATGGAGATTTTGCATGGTGAGACTCTGTTGCAGCCTGGCCCTGATGAGGATGGCCCAGAGGTGTGCCTAATGCTTCTCACCACAGAGAAACAGGGCTAACATGGGGGGAGGCACTTTCATTCTCTAAAGAGCTTCCAGGCATAATTCTAGAGAGGCCCAGAATAGTTCAAGGTGTCTCAGCTCCCTTTTCAAAAGCTAGTGTCAACAAATAGTCTCGGTTTTGTGACTCATAAATGACTAAGGCACTTTAGAAAATTACGTATGTGCTTTTGAAAATGTTACCCTACGAATTTAAGCGATCAGAAAATATTAGGGAGGACAATAGCAACAAGAAAAGGGGATAAAGGAAGGAGTACACCACATAAAGTAGGATTATTTGGGTGATATAACTTACACTAATTCAATAAGAAATTCTTTAATTGCTTAGAGGGTCATGGCCTTCTTGCTTTGTAGAGGTTATGAGCTTTTCCTCTGCACAAACATGGATTATTTCCCAAGCACGTTCTGGTTGTCTCCTATACACAGATATAACACTAGATTCTCAGGTCATTTTCTTGCATCCTCACTTCCCTCTTATCATTCTGCCTACAACTAGCCTCAAGTCTGGTTTGTAATTGAGCACTTAATGAAGTATCAAAATGTATATGCCCTCCCCTCATTACACTCAATTACATCACTCACTACAATTGCTTGTGTGAAAATATTTTTGCTTCTCTGTGTTTGCAGTTATAGTGCACCTCACTGCTCGCTGTATAAACTTAGCCCTCTTCCCCCAGCCTCCCCGTATGAATATTTTGCCAAATGATCCGGAGTGAAAAGATTATCTTCTCTTCTTAGTCACTTGATTGAAAATAACCAAAAATAATTAAATAGTTAATACTGAATGTAGCTGAGCACTTGCTTAGTGTTTTATTTTAAAATTTTCTGTAGCTTTTTCCTATTTTAGGAACAAAGCAGGCATAATTGGACATGTTGTTCTCAAGCAGCAAACACCTCTGTGAAGAGAATTGAAGGAAACACATTTCTTTGATTAGAATATTTTTCTCATTAACTGAATGTTCCAAATAAAGCAAAAATATTTGATGCATAGAGCCTCTGGCTACATCAGGTTAACACTGGCATGCTCTCACACTTTACTTCATGTTTACCAATCAATCAAAAACACATTTGCGGGTAAAAAAGGGCATGTCTTTAATCATGAAACGACAGTTTTTTGACAGCAAACAATTAGGATATCCCTGAATTAAACCAAATGTGGATCTCAGTTGTGAAAGTTAATACTCAAGGTTCTGAAGAGGATAAATGTACCAAGATGCTGACTAGAGAGAGAAAGTGTGTGGGCATTGACAAAGGATCAAATTATAATGAGTTGGAAGGGGTGAAAATTTTCTGTGGAGCAGATGACACATGCTCACTGTCCATCTGCCCATTCTTGTCCCATGGTAAGTGAAGGTTAAACTGGAGCAATTTAGCTGTTTTGTTCAGGGGTAAACTGCTTTAGGTTAAGATAGTTACCATGCATCATCCGCTTTGAGATAAGTTTTAGCCTCTAATTCCTTGTTGCATCTCATGGTTTGTCCATAGTCTGTGTCTCTGAAAGTTATTCTGAGTTTTAAGTTGCAGTATAATGCCTCATTCTGTCAAGCTTGAGATCACGATATGATGTCCGTCTTCAACACCTGTATCTTGAACTGAAGGCAAGTAACTTTGAGAAGAGGACCATGAAATATAAGTTAGTGCATAGGTGGTCAGTGACTTTTTTAGTTCAGGGGCCAAAGTCAGTTTGCTAGCCACAGTGCTATAAAGAGGCCCCTAATTTCTTTAGGTCACCAAAAATGACTTTGTCTTTGTCCTTCTGAACAAGGCC